CCGCACCTGACAGGATTGGGGAACCCTTTCGGCACCCTGCAACACACCAGCCAGTGTCTGGCCAATGACAAACACAACCACGCCAGCACGACATGTGTCGCCAGCCGGCCCAGGATTCCCACCAAGGTACTTCCATTGGCCCGACAAAGCAGACAGAAAGCATTGAGACACATAAGACGAGCAACTAGTAGCGTCCGATCGCTCCTAGTAGCGATGCCCTTTGCTCCTAGTAGCTTCTTGCTCCTAGTAGTACGGCCAGGAGCCCCTAGTAGCGTCCTTGCTCCTAGTAGCGATGCCCTGATATAACCACAACACATGGCCATTCACCCCATTCCAGTTATCCTACTACCTGGGCGGGTGGGGGATAGCTGCTAATAGCTCGAGGTAAACAGTACGCTTTGGAGACTTCGTATCAGTGAGCTATTTTACTTGTGGCCGATGAGAAGTCAATGAGCTTTCATCACTATTGTTGGTGTTATCTTCCCAGACTGCATGAATTTAATTACACTTTCAAACATAGCCATATAGAAAGCAGAAACTTTGGTGTTCCAGGAACATCCTCAGGGCTGTGATGGCAACATGCACTTGTACATTGTGTAAACTGAATGCCATGTGTTCCACGTGTGAACTATCAACATTGATGCTTGCAGGGCTGGATACAGAATACATCATCCATGAGTCCACCATGAAGGCAAACCCAGTTGAGAGCATCGGAGCCTCACCAGTGTGAGCCAACACCAACTTGCAAATGTGTATTTTTTCAATCTTCAACCGATGTAGGTTGGAGGGTTTAAGGCCATCGCTCGTAGGTTGCAGGCCATTGCTAGTAGGTTGGAGGCCATCGCTAGTAGGTTATCTTCAACTGATGTTTTCATTGATTCTTGCGATATGTGGCCTTTCTTGAAGGTCCGCTCGCAAGCACTTGATCGAGCCGAAGCGATTGGACTACCACAGGGTCCGTTTGCTCGCATCGTGTAGCTAGTAGCGTCCGATCGCTCCGTTCGTAGCGATGCCCGTTGCTCCTAGTAGCGAACATTGCTCCTAGTAGTACGGCCAGGAGCCCCTAGTAGCGTCTTTGCTCCTAGTAGCGTTTGTTTGGTGTTCGTCGTTGTCAGAGCCGTGTTTCGAATTTGCCAGTCGGTCAGGTCGAGCCTTCGAGAGAGATCTGCCCGTTTCGGCTTTGGCATGCGTGAATGGCCAAGACATCAAAGATGTCATCGCAGCTTCGCATCAAAACCCTAGCTACTAGTAACAAGTGCATCGCTACTAGTAACAAGTGCCTTACTAGTAGTAACAAGAAGCTAGTAGAAACAAGAATTAAATAGAAACAATAAGCGATGGCCTCCAGCTTCGCATCAGCTTCGCACCCGGCAGTTTGGTCCCAAGGTCACCCGGCAATTCTTTTGGCCTGCGGGGGACCTCAAAGTCTGACACCTTTTACATGTAAAAGAATGCGTAGGGGATGCCCTTTGTTACTAGTAGCTTCTTGTTCCTATAGTAATGCCAAGAGCTACTAGTCTCGATGCCAGGAGCTACTATTTGCTTCTTTTTACAGGTACGGTACGTTTCAGGCTTGTAGCTTTAAGCATGCCAGATGTGAATACTTTGACCGAGATCCTTGTGAAGATGCGCCTTGATGCACAGCAGGGTGATTGGGCAAAGACAGAGGAGACGAGACGTCTGAGCTTTCATGGAGAAGAGAGAGAAGAGACGGCGCTTGTAGGAGATGTGGGTTCTTTGTTTGATGCTTCCGAATGCTTTCTGAAAGGAGCTGAAACGACATTGGGAGCAATCCGAAAGGACCGCAAAAGAAATTGCAGACATCATAAACACAAATAGTAGTAAGAATGCTCCTAGTAGCGATGCCAGCAGCCCCTAGTAGCGCTCTTGCTCCTAGTAGTAAGGCCAGCAGCCCGTAGTAGCGTTCTTGTTACTTTTACCATTATTTTTTCAGGTTGGTGTTTTGCATAAAAGAACGCAATATCCAGATTTCAACTTCATCGACTCATCAAGGGCAAACAAAGTCTCGAAAAGGATGTCTCTTTGAGAGCTGCTACTAGTAGCTTCTTGTTTCTAGTAGCGATGGCCTCCACCTAATAGCGTCCTTGTTACTTAGTAGCTTCTTGTTAGAGCTCTGCACGGCTTTGCAACTCTGAGAAATTTATCCACAGCGTTGCTAGTGCAGGAGGTCCAGCACAGAAATTGATAGCTCCACGGTCTTTGGAAGGCAAGGTTGTGACGAAGATAGATGAAATGGACCTGTCACACATAAGTTAGTTCTTTTGATTGATTATTCACGACATGTAAAGAGACATTCAGGTTGAGAGATGTCAGGTTCAATCCTCTTCGTTTTCAACTCCGAAATCCCAAGGGCGAGGCTCGTGTCATTGATGTGGGAGCAAAGTAGATCTTAGATGCCGATGTCTTTTCATGTTACTAGTCGGAATGCACTTGTTACTAATAGCGATGCACAAAAGACTTAATTCCAACCCAGTAGTGATGGCCTCCAACCTGAGTGCGATGGCCTCCACCCAAGTAGTGATGGTCTCCACCCTAGTAGCGATGGCCTCCAACCCAAGAGCTTCCAAGTAGATGCCGAAAAGACATCACCGGCATCAGACTCTGTCAAACATCGCCGAATACCAGTGCTCGTGCTTCGGAGCAAAACTCCTGCTCGACACTGCAGCTCATGGACATCCAGATTTGAACGGACATTGATGTACTCACAAAAAGGCTGTTCCATGTTCACCCACAAAGCTCGTCTTTTTCCATGTGCTTTGAGAAGTTGTGATTTCCAAGTGCGCTCTGAGTGTGCCAACTTGCACAAAGTGCTAAGTTGTGAGCAGCCAAGCGCCAAGTGCCAAAGGCCACGATTTCGGTGCAGGTCTGGAGTTCGAACATGTTCGAGCGAGCTGCGTGAGCTGCAAATGGCAGTCACCAAAACGCCCAAGTGAGGAGCTACTAGTATTTCCCTTGTGACTAGCATCAATACCCTTGCTACTAGTCGGGGCCCTCCAACTATAGACCTTTCTTCCTTTTCTTTTTTGTTTCTAGTAACGATGTCCTCCCTAGAACGCCTATCAGGCGGCCTTGCAAGTGAAGTAACTTCGCTGTTTTCGCACCAAGCTCCGAGGGTTGGAAGCACCAGCTTCTTGCTCCGTTCGTAGCGATACCCTTTGCTCCGTTCGTAGCCGCATTTCTCAGACCAGCTACTCACCTTTCACTGTGCATCGCACAGCGTCGAACTCGAGCTGAAAAAAGCGCCGAACTCGAGCGCTGTGGTGTTTTCAGGTATTTTTTTCAGAGTTTTGGTTGTGAGTCAACGCAACTGCGGGAGCCTGCGTCCATTGATGGTGTTTCTTTTGCATTCAATATGCATCATTATCGCTTGTCTTACATGTTATGTTATCATGATATTCATCATCATCATTGTTGTGTAAAACGGGCCTCTTCTACACGGTGTTGCTTTCTTTTGGATTCGTGTGCGGTTGCATTTTTCGCTTCGTTAGGTGCTTTTTGTTCAGAAAGAGTTCGGCATGGCACCCTCAGTAATTACACAGTGAATTGGACTATTTTGGACCAGCCACATGCGCTGAGCTGAGAAGAACTCTTTGTATCCCCATCCGATTAAACTTCGTGCTTTTTGCAATGCTCACTAATTGATACATATTGAATCATATTGATACTGATGTTGTGGCTTGTAGCTGCAAGAATTTGTATTGGAAACTTGTCTTCTCCACAGATTGTCATACTCCTCTCTATGAATGGAGACTACTGTGGCCTCGATTTATATGCTGAATATGGTTTCGACATGCTGCTTCGCTGCCTGATTCTATTCTATGTTGTTTGTACACATGCTGCCTCGCTGCAAGAATTTGTATTGAAGGAAGAACCTTCCTTAACGAAGACGCCTGGTTCGCCTGTGGAGTCGCATCCATCGTTTTATCCTGAACCATGCAGCATTGCATCGCATGCACCTTAGAGGCCAGACTCTGGACGTTCGGGCGATTTGGGCAACATCGAAGTGAGCGGGGGTCGGATGGGCCTTTGTTCATTTAGACCACTTCAGGGATTTTGGCATTGCTCACTGTAAAGAGCTGCAGACAAAAGGACAAGGACAAGGACAAAAGTGTTTGTTCAAAAGTGTGAAGCAAACGGGATCAACGGGATCAAGCTCTTGCGTCATGTTTGCGTATAGTGTGGTTTGCTTTCTATATAGGTGGATGGTACCGTTCTGTCTCGGGTCACAAGGAATGCATTTCTCGCAGAAGATCCTTTTCCAGACTCTTCCGGATTCCCAGTTGTGATTCCCAAGTGATGAAGAATTGTGTCGTAGAATTGTCTTGGAGGCCATTGCTATTAGGTTGGAGGCCATCGCTAGGCTCGTAGGTTAGAGGCCATCGCTACTAGGTTGGAGGCCATGGCTCTCAGGTTGGAGGCCATTGTTATTTGGAATTGTCTTGGCAAGTGGAGAGATGAAACGCTGTTCGCCGCGTAGGGTTGTGATTCGGTAACTCTGGGGTGCTGCCAGTGTGATGCGAAGCCCGTGATGCGAAGCTACGTCAACAGTGCTAAATATTGACTTTGAAACATGTCACATTTAGATCAAGGGTGCTTTGACTGCAAACAGCAAGGGTTCGTGTTGGCTGAGCCGGTTGCGGATCAGCCAGAATGGACAGATAGATTACTTTTGCAACTTTTGATTTTCATACAATGTCTGCTCCACCGCAAAGAGGCTTACATCAGTCAGACTTGTAGTTGAGCTGACGGTGAAGGACAATTTGGAAGAACAAAACGACTGTCATCTACAGCAAGGCTTTTTCTCATGGCTTTGCACCAGAAAATGCAACTAGGAGCAAGAAGCTACTAGGGGCTCCTGGCATCGCTACTAGGAGCAGGACGCTACTAGGGGCTCCTGGCCGTACTACTAGGAGCATCCTTACTACTAGTAACAAGAAGCTTTGGAAACACAGCTGAAAGCTAAGTCAGATCTATCACTGGCAAAGTCTTGGCTGACAGCTGTGGCCGCGATGCTATGCAGCAAGCGCCGCAAGTGTCCATACATCTCCAGGCTTTGCTACAGTTGCTGCTGGTGCAAAGCGCAGCCTTTCCACGGAGAGACTTTCAAGCCACATGCCTTAAAGTCTAGAGCACAGCAAGGGACCTTCTGCCTAAAGCCTAATTTGTTTAAGGTGGATTCAACTCAGCGGAGCACGAACCGATTGGGACCAGAGTTTTGGAAGGCTTTCGATTCATTGAACATCTGAATGAAAACACACAACAAAGAAAGCAACTAAAATGCAAATGGATAACGCATAGGAAATCATCAAATCCCAATGAGAGCAATGAAGAACAATGGGCGAGAGATTGGATATGAAGCAACGAGCACATTTTTTTAAAGCAAATCTGATCACACTTTATATCAATTTATGGTTTCTATTTATATTTGGCATTATTTCGAGTTAGACTCGTCGGTTCGAAGAATTTGCCCAAATCGGTGCTGCGGGCAGCGAAGACCGACCGTTTCCACGGGGAAACGGCAATCGCCTCCAACGAGCCACGTGTGATGCGGCTCGAAGAAAGCGACACGGTCCGCGTATGCGGAACGTGTCTCTGGACTCAGGATCATGGTTGATTGGATCACCTGCCATGAATAAATCGGCAAAGATGAATTGAACATGATATCTCAACTGGAATGCACGGGCGCTTGACCTTTCCACGCCCCTTGACCTTTCCACGTGCGCGACTGACCTCCACCTGTCTGTAATCGGGCCCGCTTTGAACATCTTTCAAAGTCCACCTGCGCGGTGCTTCAATTTGACAGTGGGGTGTACCACGGAGAATGGCAATTCCCGTGCGCAAGGGGCTCCTGGCATCGCTACAAACGGAGCGATCGGACGCTACTAGGAGCTTTGTTGTATGAATGGTGCGCGGTCAGCCACAACAAAGCTTCCTCTTCGCTGTAGTGGCCTTCTGCGCATCCCTCTTTGTCAGCCGGGCGGTGCAAGGTTTTGGCACCAACAGCTGATAGCGAGGGGTTCATGATTTCCGGCCTTGCACAAGGGGAGCCCCTAGCAGCGTTCTTGCTCCTAGTAGCGATGCCAGGAGCCCCTAGTAGCGTCCTTGTTCCTAGTAGCGATGCCTTGCACAAGGTCAGGGCATTCATTGAGAAGGGTCATCTCGAACCCTCTCAGGATACCTTCTGGTTGACGTCTGTGGAGCATCATTGGACGGAGCATGAGCGATGTGACTACACTGAGCGACCTGCTCCAAACTCTACCGTATACAGCTGATGCGCCTCCGTGCACAGTCTGCGAATTGGGCTCCACGCCATGCTGAACCCTGGTTAGGGGAAACGCTGCACATACGAACGGCGATTGAGCAACCACTTCAGAACTGCTTAAAAGCACTTCCTTGTTTTGCAAGGGGTTGGGCCATTCCAGTCGCAAGCAGTGATGTATAAACCGATAAGTGAAGGACAGTGTGGGCCATCGAACCAAGTTTCGGAGAAATAACCGGACTGTACGGCCTGATTGCTCCATGGAACGTTCTTCTCAAACGTGTCGCAAACAATATTTCCGACAAGAGTGTCCTGCAAAAGTGTCTTCGAAGAGTGTTCAGGGAGTAAGTAAGAGTGTCAAACAAGGTTTGGTTATCTTGTATGTGTTTGCGTGCGTGTGTGCATTCGGGTTCGCGGGCTACATACTCGTTTTTTCTCTAGTTTTTTTTTTGCGGAAAAGGGGAAGGAGACCTCCAATCACGCTGCAAGGCCCAAACCTGCACCTTTTTTGATCCTGTTCCTTCTTGGTGGGCAGTGCGGCTAGACACCTATGAAGTATTTGAGATGAAAGAGAGAGAGAGAGAGTAAGGTTGAAGATAAAAACAGATAGCTTAAAACCTCATGATCAAACAATTCATCTGGTCTTTTATTTGGGTTTGCCTTGAGGCTGCATTTCAACGGTTGCAAGCTGCTTGCCTTTGCTGGAGTGGGGTTGAGGACAGCCCCAGCAACTCAAAGTCAAAGAGTTCGGTCCTGGGCAGCGAATTGGCAGCGCAGAGTTGTGAAAGCTTGGTGCGTGCCTTGCGTCTCCTGAACGATTCCGTGGCTTGCTCGCAGCTGCTCTGAAAAGGTTCAGTTGATTCGTGCTATTTTGCTTACTTTCAGATAGGCGAAGGTCGTTTTCTCTTTTTTTTTCTAAGGATCTAGTTTGGGAATCGAAGACCATTTGCGTGGCCAAGTGTTTTTTGGCGCTGGCATGTGCTCTTCGCGCTTTCAAAACTGCAAGAGACGTCTTGGTTCCTGGCCAGGCACGTCTTGGTTCCTGTCCTTGATTCCTTGCTAATTGTTGTTTTCTTCGACGGTCCGATGCTCGCCTTGGAAAGGGTTTTGCGCAAGACATTTTGCTTGACGCAATTGCTTTCTGCTTTTCACTCCGAATTGCCTCTTCCGAAGGGCCACACGTAGGGATGTGATTTTCTTACTGTTGGAGCGGCTACACTACGAATGCCCAAAGGCATTGCATAATTGCATACCAATTCTGTCAGGCATGCACTATGACCCAGGACATTCAGCAATTTCTGCTAACGAGAACACCGCTAACATCTGGTCAGAGATTGGGAGGTGTGACCAGGATTGTAGAGAATGCACAAATGGAAACAACGGCGACAACAGCAAGAACGGAAGGACAAGGTACAAACAATAACTGGACTCACCCTTTCTTTGTCTCTACAATCTCTACAAGGGGGTACAAGCAGAGACTTGCTTGTACCAGACTTCCTGATAGTAATGGCTTGTAGTTGGTAGTGCTTGTAGTGGCAGGACTTGTAGTCATAGTTGTGATAGTACAGTAGTACCTAGTAGTAGCAGTGTGGTAGCGACAATTGGTAGTAATAGTAGTGGCAGGGGTAGCAGCAGGAGGACCACCTGCGCTGGCAACAAAGATCAGGCCTCAAACCTAATAGCGATGGCCTCCAACCTAGTAGCTTCTAGTTACTAAGAAGCTTCAAAGACATACTAAGAAGCTTCTTGTTACTACAGATGAAACGATTCCCAGTGAAACGATTCCCACAACACGCAGCACAGGAGGCAAGTGTGGGAAATCCAAAGTGCCCTTGACTGTGAGAAGCCTACAACCGCAATGACAGCAATGCGACAGCAGACAGAGCACCAGGAAGAACAACAACCGCCACAACAATGACGTCAGTCAAACTGAAACAACAACGGAGTGACATAGCCCGTCCAAATTCTAGCAGCAAAGCAAAACAAACAAATGTTCTAGTTAGATAGTGTTTGGTCTCCAAGCCCTCTTCACTTCACAGTTTTCTGTTGCTTTGATACCAAATTGTAAGCTTCATGCGTGTGTGTGCCCCACCTGTCTCTAAGGGTTCTCCCTTTCTTTTCGTTCTTTTTTTTGCAGCAGGGGGGTAGTTGAACTCATCAAGGGGAGGCTATAGAAGATGTGAAGACTGAAGAATTATTTTCTGCCAACTACATGTTTGAAACATTTTGTCGTCCCTGCATTGTCCCCACGACCTCCTTTTTTCAGATTGGAGGCCATTTTCATTAGGATGGAGGCTATCTCTAGTATGCTGGAGGCCATTGCTCTAGTAACAAGAAGCTGCTAGTAGCAAAGGGCATCGCTACTAGGAGCAAGGACGCTACTAGAGGCGCTCCTGGCCTTAAAACGAACGTAACAAGAAGCTATTAGTAGCTATAGAAGCGATGCACTTGTTACTAGTAGCTATAGAAGCGATTTCGTCGTTCCACGTTTCGTTGGCTTTGCGGAACGACTTGTCAGTTGGTGACGATTTGTGGGCTGCAGAGTTCTGCCGGCTCTGCTCTTAATGGTCTTCGAGGAGAAGTCAGACAAGATCGACACGAAACAACACACACCGAAAGAAGCAAACAGAACTTAGTAAAAGAAACTGAATTCGGTAAGACAAAGGATCGCTTTTTGTTACTACTAGTAAGGCACCTGTTACTACTAGCGTGGCACTTGTTCCTAGTAGAATTTAATTATAATTAATTACCAATATAGAATTAGAATTCCTGTTACCAATATAGAACGCTTGTGCCTTATAGAACACCACAGGAATTTACGCTTTGTGCCTTCGAGGAGAAGTCCGACAATTTCACGCAGAGAGCGGCCGCTTCATGGCGCCTCGTCACGACTCATCGTCTCGCCGTTGAAACAAGTGCATCGCTTCTAGTAACAAGTGCCACGCTAGTAGTAACAAGAAGCAAGTAGAAACAATAAGCTAGTAGTAACAAGTGCATCTCAACTAGGAACAAGTGCCACGCTAGTAGTAACAAGTGCCTTACTAGTAGTAACAAGAAACTATTAATTTAAGTTTAATTCTAACTTGATTTAACATATGTTTGTCCTTTGTTTCCGTTAGACCTTTTTTTTTCCGTTTACTAAAGTTTAAAGAATAACACATTGTATTATCTTTCTGTTTGTCTATGTGTTTTTCTCGCACTTCTATGCATTTCTTCACTTTGACGTCTTCTCTTCTACATTGTTCATATCGCATATCGCATGTTTGCCGTTGCTTTGCGGTCTTTATGGTGCACTTTTGCTGACAGCTGTGTAGCTGTTGTCACACCTTATAGTGACTACAGGTGTTTTTGCATTCTCTGTATCGTTTAAGCTCTTCAACGGTTGATAATATGCAGAGCGTAACTTTCTACTGCCACGCTACCAGATGGCTGCTTTTCATCTACAAATCATCCTTTTCATTCCCTTCCTTTCCATTCCTTGGCCATTAGGTTGGAGGCCATCGCTTGTAGGTTGGAGGTTTAGGCGTTCTTTCTAGACTTGAAGTTTGTTTAGTCGCCTTTAGACAGGACTCTTTCGCTCTTCATCTTTTGTTGAGGTTTCATTGGAACGTGGAGATCCTCCAGCCGAATGGAAGAAGTTAAGGCCGCAGAACCTTCAACCAGACATCGACCAAAGCTCCTGCGCGTCCTTGGCCTTCAAGGGCGCCAAGGAATGTGGGACACTGGACTCAATCTCTATTTTAGCCCGCTCCCCACTTAGGAGGTAAACATGCTAATAGGCTGAGTTAGCTTCTAGGTAAGACGCAGGATAGCTAGTCTTCTTCGAAGTAAATTGGTATAACGTCCTTCCGAGTGAAATGGAAACGCATCATGGAAGTAACTTCTTGCTAATTGCTGGTAGCTTCTTGCTCCTAGTAGTACGGCCAGGAGCCCCTAGTAGCGTCCTTGTTCCGTTCGTAGCGATGCCAGGAGCCCCTAAGTAGCGATGCCCTTGTTCCTAATGGAAGTCATTCTGCCTTTCTTCCTTTTCTGTCTTTGTTTCTTAATCTTATGGCCTCCAAGTCGACGTGCTTTGGCGATGCACTTGTTTCTAGTAGCTTTTTGTTAGTACAAGTAAGGCACTTGTTACTACTAGCGATGCACTTGTTCCTAGTAGCTTCTTGTTACTACCAGCTGTTTTTAAGGAGAGCATGTTTGGAAGCCGTGGCAGAGATCTTTGATGATCTCTTAGTGCAGCTGCATGAAGAAGATGGGGACGAGCTCCGTGTGAGACTTCTCCATGCTCAACTCGCCTCGGCCATGTGGGAAGCGCTGCTCTCGTGCACAGATGCGCTCACCTCAGACCGATCTCCGAAACAGAAAGAGACCGGAATTGAATTTAGTTCTTATTTGTTACTACTAGTAAGGCACTTGTTACTAGTAGCGATGCACTTGTTCCTAGTAGAATTGGTGCGAATCGGATTCTCAAGAAAGCAGATGGGTTTACGTGGGGTTTTACATTGGTTGGGCCCAAAGACACGGCTACCTTGTGAGGGCTCAAAGTGACTATGGCGTGGACACCATCTGGTCTGTGTAGCAACACTTCCGTTGATCTCCATGGGCTGCTCATTCCTCACCTTCTTTTTTATGAAGAACTTGCGCAAAGCACTCGCTTATTTGTAATTATCCCTTTGAAGGAAGGGAGGACTATTACGAACAGTCCCCAGCAGTGGCCTTGCCATTTCCCTTGCCATTCTACGTCCCCGGCAAGCCCTCAGGCCATCGCAGCTAGCCCGAAGTAGGTCTTATTGATACTTTCAGAATTCTGTTGGTGCAAGAAAGCCACATGTTCGTTTTTTAATGCAATGGCCTCCAACCTAATAGCAATCGCCTCCAACCTGATAGCAATGGCCTCCAACCTGATAGCAATGGCCTCCAACCTTATAGCAATGGCCTCCAACCTAGTAGCGTATCTGCAATAGTGCCACCTCAATAAGCCTGACTTTTAGGATGTCATCTACAATTGGCGGGGTCGCTACTAGGTTGGAGGCCATCGCTATTAGGTTCCTTTTGCAATTGGATCCTAGTAGCGTCCTTACTCCTAGTAGTAAGGCCAGGAGCCCCTAGTAGCGCTCTTGTTCCGTTCGTAGTGATGCCAGGAGCCCCGTTTGTAGCATTTGGGGTATTGAGATTTGCGCCCAGGACTTGCAGATGGAAGCTTCTGCTTTGCGATGGCCCCAGTGGACTTTCGACGTCAAAACGCTGCCGAGAAACCCGACACCAAAATGGATCGGATTATATACCCTGCCCTGCCGGGCCCTGCCCCCAAACCTTTTACACACCCAAACCTTTTTGTCCCAAACTTTTTCCTTTTCAAGAGAACTGTGAACTGGCTCTCGATGTGTCTTTACGCTGTAAGGTTGGATTTGTGTTCTGATGACTGCACGCTTTGTTCGATGTTGGCTCGCCATCTTTTTTCGGTGCCTTGGAGCCATCAGAAAACGCACATCGAAACTTGCAATGTGTTCATTTTTGTTTGGAGGCCATCGCTAGGTTGAAGGCCATCGCTAGTAGGTTGGAGATGGTTGGAGCCCATTGCTATTAGGGAAGCGGCCATCGCTATTAGGTTGGAGGCCGTCGCTAGTAGGGTGGAGGCCGTCGCTAGGCGGTTGATGGCAATCGTTAGTAAGTGTCAGATTCTTTGTTGTGCCAGATGTGTAAACAGACACCGAAGACGACACCGTGATGTTTTGCTAAGATGACACAGTGTGCCCAAGGTTCATCTCACGGTGCGCCCTGAAGAGTCGCTGTCCCAGATGGGAAGAAATGAAAAAACCTGAGAGCCATTACTTAATAGACTTTACTCCAACCTACTAGCAAAGTCCTCCAATCTAAGAGCGATGGCCTCCAACCTACTAGAAGAAATGCCGAAATCGTTTCAGACAGGTCTTCACAACAGCTGAACCACTGATTTGCATGCTGGTGCATGTGTTTTCTTCTTAGTCAATTGCTCCTTTTGATTGTGCAGATGTTTCAACTAGACTTAAATTAGTTAAATTCTATTTTAAGTCTATTTATGTTTATTTCTTGTTTCTAATAGCTTCTTGCTCCTAGTAGTAAGGCCAGGAGCCCCTAGTAGCGTCCTTGCTCCTAGTAGCGATGCCCTTTGCTCCTAGTAGCGAAAATTGTTCAAGGCTGGACCCATATCGCATCAAGAGACTGTTGACCTTGCAGGCAAGAGAAAGAAAGAAATGAGAGAAGGGCAACACAGAGCGATGGCCTCCAACCTACTAGGAATGGCCTCCACCCTAATAGCAACAGAATTTGCAAAAGAACATTGTAAGGCCCTTGTACAAAGGATTATGCGTTCTTGTGAATTTGGTGAGCTTTCTCGAGCATTCAGGAGAGCTTTGCCAAGGCGTATTGTCGGCTGTACCAGCACTGGACCTAGACAACGAGGGGCAACCTGGGAAAAGACAAATCAACTCTTCCTAGTAGCGTCCTTGTTCCTAGTAGTAAGGCCAGGAGCCCCGAACGTAGCGTGGCCCCTTGCTCCGAACGTAGCGATGCCCTTGTTCCTAATGGAAGTCATTCATCGCCTCACGGAACTGAGCATCTTCTGAGGCCTAGTGCTTTGTGGGGTCCGACTTCTGAGACGGCCGGAGACATCCGAGATTTGCAGGTGGGAAATGCAGGTTGGAGGCCATCGCTAGTAGTAACAAGTGCATCGCTAGTAGTAACAATAAGCTACTAGCGTCCTTGTTACTACTAGTAAGGCACTTGTTACTAGAAGCGATGCACTTGTTCCTAGTAGGTATGAGGCCATGTCTAGGGTTTTCTGCAGCACAGCGAGTATCGTGGAGTTTTCATAACAGGCGAATCTCCAAGCTCACATTCTGAAATTGGCCAATGCTGCTGTTCAGTCCCAGATTCAGAGATCGCGTGTTCAAAGAGTGCAAACGCTTTACAAAACTCTTTTGTCAGTGCTGGGAGCAAGGACGCTACTAGGGGCTCCTGGCCGTACTACTACAATTGTCTGGGATTCCAAGGATGGGAGTTCTTCAGCAACTCATCGACAGTTGTGATTTTCACATCGACAGGGTAACGCCTTCGTGATTTTTGGAGGGCCAAGGTGGACATTGAACTCTTTTCAGAGTCATCTTAGCTTCGGAGGCCATTGCTAGTAGGTTGGAGGCCATCTCTTTTAGGTTCCCTTTGAAAGTAGGAACAATGTTTGCTACTAGGAACAAGTGCCTTACTAGTAGTAACAAGGACGCTACTAGTAGCTTATTGTTTCTAATAGCTTCTTGTTACTACTAGTAAGGCACTTGTTACTACTAGCGATGCACTTGTCGTTTTTTTTTAATTTTGCCAGGCCATTGCTGGAATTGGTCCAGGCATCTATCCCGTCCCACTGGTGCTGCCGGTCCTTTTGTCCAGACTTGCCTCGCCCCCAGTGTACTTCAAGAAGATAACGAGTCTGAGACATGGTTTAAACATCGTTCCTCAACTTTTTCACCTATTAGGTTGGAGGCCATCGCAAGTAGTAACAAGGGCATCGTAGTATCGCCACTAGGAGCTAGGAACAAAGGGCATCGCTACTAGAAGCAAGGACGCTAGTAGGTTGGAGGCCATCGCTAGCTAGGTTGAAGACAAGACATATGGACTTAGCAACGGATTGGCTCGGTATTTAATTGCTCGCTCCAGTCGCGATCGCTCTGAGAGAGGTGTGCACTTTGGCCATGAATGGGGACTCCTTTGTGCGACGCCATGTGTTGATGCTGGTTCCGGTGCGCCCATCCTTGTGATTGAGCAAAAAAATGGTGTTAGTTGCACACACTCACTGCAATCACAGTTGAGGCATTCCTTTCAGTTGCAGAGAGCTTTGCCGAACTGGTAATAGCTCGCTTGGAAGCGGAGGCAGCAGCAAGAGCACAAACTGTTTTGCATGCAAGAGCAGCAGCTGAAAGCGAAGACAATATGGTCAGAAAGCAAGTAGAAACAATAAGCTAGTAGTAACAAGCGCATCGCTTCTAGTAACAAGTGCCATACTAGTAGTAACAAGAAACTATTAATTTTAACTTAATTCTAATAGCTTCTTGTTACTACTAGTAAGGCACTTGTTACTACTAGCGAGGCACTTGTTACTAGAGAGTCTTGCCTTTGGTGTTTCAGATCTTTCAAAATTCTCCTGTCTTGAAAGGCAGCCAATTCGTCGGAGCTTTTGAAGGCTTCCCAAGCTGTGCTGGGGCTCCAGAAAGGTGTGAATCTAGAGAGAAAAGCTTGCTGAGTCTGACAAGATGTGAAGACATGTGAAGACCACTTGTCAAAGGTTGGATGCCACATTGGCAGCAATAGGACTTGGTTTGCAAGATGAGCCACGAGCCCAAGATGAAGGTTTTGATATGTTGTGATGGGCAAGGTGACCGCAAGTCACATCTGCAAGTCACTTGTGATGATATCAAATGCCATTATGTTTCCCTAAATATCATTAGTGCAAGCGTGAGCTATCCTGCGTCCAGCTACTAGAAGCTAGCTAGTCGCCCTGATCTTACTCTCTTACTTAATGAAGCCGGCGCCTACCTATACAATTAAGTAAGGGCGGGCTTTCAAAATAAGGAACAAACATGCAAGTCACATCGGTGATATCTTGTGACGTCCACGATCCGAGTCAGGTCCAGAGCCCGAGTCGAGGCAACGAGACCAGACCGCTGTAGACCTGTGACGATTGACGAAGTGTGCTGAAGAAAAGATAAGACTCAATAGACTCTACTCCAACCCATTAGTGATGGCCTCCAACCTAAGAGCGATGGCCTCCAACCTAAGAGCAATGGCCTCCAACCTATTAGCAATGGCCTCCAACCTATTAGCAATGGCCTCCAACCTAAGAGCGATGGCCTCCAACCTGAGAGCAATGGCCTCCAA